TAATAATGAATAAGTTTATAATAATTATTTTAAAAAGCTTTAATACTACATCAGTTACTACATTAGTCACATATTAATATAAATATATTCAAATAAATTTATAATGGATATGCAATATTATTCGTTTTATTAATATTTATAATATAAACGTTTACAAATTATATTTCACCATGGATTTGATTTAATAGGCCAAATAAAAAAATTAGTTACATATATAAACATTAATTATATGCATTTTTTATTTAATACATGTATTTTATAATTAAATTATTGATTATATAGTATATCGAATTATAAAAATAATTAAAACTTTAACAAATTAGTTTTTAAATTACTTACATATTTTAAATTATTCATTTGTCAAATAAAAGTTTAATTTTTAATTTTAAAAGAATATAATATTATAAATAATGTTGGGATAATAGATCAAATATTTCATTCGCAGATTTTTTTCACTATCGTTATACATTTATAATATCACAAATGATTTGTAAATATTTTTATATAACTTTATGAATCTAATAGTAATAATGCTTAAAAAACTATATATTTTTTCCGTTAGTTAATGACACAATGTTTGTATAAAAATTAGTATAAATGCTTTAAGACTAATAGATTATTTTATAATGTTAAATAATTTTTCTACAATATTATATGGTGATAGCTTCCATTTTATGTAAGCAATCATGAGTAATAGACTTAAAAATACTACATAGTACAATTGTAAATTGTTTTAGTACGAATCATTGATATCAATAGAAATATTAATCAATAGAAATATAATAGAAATACGAGTTTACAATATAAAATATTAACTATTAACTGAGATGCCATAGCATAGTATTAAATAGGATACATAAATAATTAGATAATTGCAAAATAATTAATCTTGTAGTCAGATTCTATACGCGGTCATAGCAAATATTTCAGTAACCGTTGAAACAACCTTCTAATCTATTTGTTCGTTCAGCCGTCATTTTCGGATAATTTCAGTATTTATCGGATTAATCTGCACGCGATTCGTTGGCGGATCGATGTCCCCAGCTGCTGGACTTAAGCAGCTTATGCTGATTTTTGCTCCTTTTTCAGGAAAAATGTGACAGCCGATAATTTCCCTCGTATGGCCGGATAATGGGGCCAGTGACAAAGGAGTTCGACACACGTGGCGTTTCCTCTTCCTCCCCCTTTCAAGGCTAACGTCTACGATGTGCACGATAAGCCATATCTACTAGTTGATATTTCGTATTCATCTGCAACCCCTTACATTCTTAAAATCGGTAATCTGAGACATACTCTGGAGCTTTTAGCTGATAGAATTTCTCAGCATATTCTTTCTATTATATAACTATGAACTCGAAGATTTATAATGATATAATAAACGATATTTTTATAGAAATTATTAAATTTGAACTGTTCATTAAAAAGATAAAAATTGATAAAAACTCATTTTTATAATAACTTGGACTTTTTAATCTTTTGAATTAATTTTGAATATTATTTGATTCCCAACACTCATATACGAACAACATCGACACGATAGACAAAACTGTATAATTTGATTTTCTCCATTTCTCTTTGAATTTTCCAGTAAAATTCTTCCGTGTTCCCATGTTACATATATATATATATATATATATATACATATATATATATTGTATTTCTAAATTGCCTAGACAATCCTTTTACCGAATATCCAATGATGTTGTATTTACATTTATTGATAATTACCTTAATTACAAGATTGACTTACATAATACACTTACTGGCACAATGGATGTTAAAAGCTTTTCGTTAAACTTTATTAAAGAAACTTTGACAAAACTGAAACATTTATGTTAGACATAATTTAATAATTCTCACAAGGTATCCATGTAATATATTATAGAAGTAATTTTGTTTATATTTATTAAATTACAAAAACAAAGTGAATTATATATTATTCTTGCTCTTTCAATATTTCTCGATAAAAAGAAATTGTTAATAATAGGTATACGTCGTGAAAAAATGTATTTTTAAGCAAAATTAGTAAGAAATAATATTTAGCTGAAATATACCAATGTCTATAATCTGTACTTCATTAAGTAAATAATTTTTATATTTGTATTAAAAATTATATGTTGATAAGATACAATTTTTTATATATAACTAAATAAAGTGTAGTTTACTTCTGGATAAAGATGTTGAATGTGAAAAACATCTCTATAATATAAAAAAAATCATTAATAATATCTTAATTTGTAATGTATCTTATTTGATATTTTGTTTTTTAATTATATATATTTTGCAAATGAATTTCAATAATTAAATTTCTTTAAATATAGAATTTAATTATATTATATGACATATAATAAATTTTAAATATTTTTATAATCTATAAAAAATAATAGGAATGTATAGATATCTTATTATCTTTAAAAATGAATGATTTAAATTTTGTTAGCCTTATTGAAAAAATTTCTATCACAATAACAAGATTCTACATAATTTTTATGCAAGCCTTACATCTACCTAGTCATATTCAAATAATAGTTCAATAATATAATTGATATTTTATATAATTAGAGAATAATGGCCAGAAAATTAGAATAGTGTTTTGATTATATAATTTTTTTTTAATAACTTTAAATGTTCTACTATATAACCATCTATAGATATAATTAAGATTTAATATTTAAGATAAAAGAAGAAAAATATTAATATAACTACATATGGTAAGTCATCGAAGAACGGTAAAGTAGTTACAGATATCGGTAAAGTAGAAAGATTTTACAGATAAAGTAAATATTTTTATACCTTTATCTTTAAAAAAAATTTAAAAATACTATTGTTTACATAGAATATTTCAGTAGTACTTATTTATTTATATAGAATATGTCATAAATACAAATATGTCATAAACATAATATTAAAACAGAAAATTAGTATTAAGTAGCATTAAATTAATGTTTGTAATAATAAAACTATTATAAAATTAAAAGAATGCGTTAATTATTGTAAATTATATTTCATATTTAACTTGGTTAATTTTTTAGATTGGAACTAATATTTAAAAAATCTAAATTAATAATTATTTTCATACCTTAACAATTTATTAATAAATATACATGTATTAGTTATATTACAATGATGAATCAACTAGTAATAAATTAAGTATGATAATAAATACATTTATTTTACACACCACTTTCGAAATTGTTAATTTGAAATCTGTAGGATAAAGTCTTAAGGAATGATGTACATAAGACTTCTATTTTATTAAAATATATATATTTAATACTATATATGTATGTATTTAAATAATAATAAATATATATTTATTTATAATAAATTAGTAGTCTTTTATAAAAGATCATTGCAACTAGTCATATGTATGATTTATAATTCTATTTTTCTGTTTTTCTTCTTCGGCTTTCAAGTGAAAACATATTTTTTTACTCTATGTAGATTATATATTTTTTTTATGTTTCATAACTAAATTTTATAGAAAAATGTGTAATAATAATTTGAATTTTTACATAAATAAAATGAACATATTTTTAGTTTAAAATGAAGGATATTACCTCAAAGTATTAAGTATTTAACTAACTTTTTTTATATAACTTTACATAATTATGTAACTTTCTTTCTGAAATTTTTTGAAAAATAAAATCACAATTAATGTAAAATAAATCATAACTTAAATAACTTGAATGTATATAATAATATAATATACAATATAACATCTTTATATAGAAATTGTTGAGCACTAATTAGTATGATTTTTTATGAATATATGAAATTATTTGAATAATCAAAATTATTTAAATTTTTAAGTATATCAATATTATTTCAAATCTTTTTAGTTACTGATACTTTTAATCAATGATATTAATTAAAATTTGTTTCTTAAACCAAACAAATTAATTAATGCATTTAAATGTACGACGGTTTATGTTTAAGTATGATATGAGACCGTTTAGTCAAGATATAATTACCGTTTTAATACGGCTGTGTGTATTTGGTCTTATATTTATATATAGTAATTACTATTATATTTCTTTATTTAACTTTATCTGTTTATATATTGCACTTAAAATGCACTTAAAGTGCAGTACGTCAATTGAACATTATTTTTTCCATATCCTTACAAGTTTCGATAATTTACAAGATAAGAAAATATGAAACTCGCAAATTTCGCCTGTCAAACGGAAATAAAAACTTTTCTAATTTCACGCATTAACTAAGAAAAGTCGACGTCTTACGCCCTATAAACCTATTGAATTTATTGATTCTTGTTTTTTTTAATTATGCTTTTTACATAAAAATTATTTATTAAAAGCACAAAATTACCAGCGTTATATATCATTCAACATTCATATCATTTTGTGAAAATACTATTTCAATCTGTTGAAATATAATAAGACCTTTGATTATAATTTTATGCTTTTAATTTTTTTTCTTACAATTTTATGATACACTCTTAACAATGCAAATGATTTATATATACCCAGTAAAAGCAAATTTACATATTATTAAATATATAATATAAATAATAAATGCAAATTCATTATAAAATAAATAATATAAAATTTAAAATTATTCTAAATATGATAAATGCTTCGGAAAAATCTTCATATAAATATTTCTAGATGAGTATCCGAATATATTATACTGTTGAAAAATATAAGTAAATTGTATAAAATTATTTCTTGAACGATCACTCATCAATTATTTTCTAACTTTGTATATTTTAATATGAAACTATTATTTATAAAATCATGAATTAAATTTTTATTCAGAATGTCTATAATGATTTTCTATTCATTAAATCGGTTTTTTTTACATTAAATTTTATTTGTTTAATAAGATATATTTAGTTTCAATAAAATTTATATTGTAGTTTGTTTTGCATTTTTGTTACGAAACATTATTAGAAATAAATCTTTTTTTTATGTATAGTAATCTAATTCACCTTCAATAGTACGGAGTAAAATTGGTATTAATTTGCATTTATTGGGTATGAATAACCTTACACAATAATTTTGTTGTCGATATATTCATCATCGTCATCAACAAACTTAATGTCGTCATCATTTTTTGCAATTATATCATAATATGATTCATTCGTCTTTTCAATAGAAACTCCAAAATCAGGATTTTGAATGCTTAAGATTTTCTTGTTAACTAAAGTTCGATTATTAAGTTTAGCTGGCGATTCTATCCGATTTCTTGAAAATTCGGCCAATGGAATGTTTACCATATTTTCAGATTCCTTTTTGTCGTCGTCATATGAAAGATTAAGATTGACGATATCTTGATATTTTCGAGGTAAATTTGGAGTCCTAGGTGAATTTATTGCGTTTGAAATATGCACCTCACAAAAGTCTCTGTCCGGATCTCGAAAGTGCTTTTTCGTTCTTGATATGTCTAAGTCATTTACTGCCGCTTCAATTGATTTATAATCCGTTTTTTGGATTGCTAATGATTGACTACTAGATTCACTACTTATGGTTGTTTTTGTTTGCTTGTTTTGAATCTTACAGCGACTAGTTTTCTTTAGCTTTCTCGGAAGTCTTCCTCTACTGAATGACTTCCCCTTAGCATCCAATCTATTAGGAATGACATCTGAAACACTCGACAATGAATCTTCGCTGACTGTCACTTTAGATTCCTCGAGTACCCTATGAATTGGAAGCATTCCTTCAACTAATCTTGCCTTATATTCCATGATAATTTCATCATGAAGTTGACATTCGGCTGGGTTTAACTTTTTAGGCTTTATGATATCCTCCGAATCGTTGTCACTAGAATCATCCATACGGGATTCTCTGACTTTCCTATATTGTGCTGGACTTAGAGCAATCCCTTCGGTATTCAAATATACTGGACATTCGGGAATTTCCCCGTACCGAGGTTCTTCTTCTTTTTGAGAAACGAGATCAGTCTCATCATCGGTAAGAGGCGGAATCCAGACGAGGAATGCTGGGTCCATGCCGAGGTAGGAACCAGGGGCAGCTCCTGCGTTCACCACGTTATAGTCATAGTAATCTAATTCTAAATCTAAATCTGGATTTGCCAGACTGAATTCTGATCCCGGGCCCTGCAGCAAGCGTTCTCGATTTCGACGATCCTTCGACTCTTTTCCGTTGTAGCGTCGGAGAGTGGAATTAGATGAACTGCTCGCTGGAGAAAAGCCCTATGAATAAAAAAAATGGTTTTTAATTTGAAAATTTTTAATAGACGTTAAAAAACATTATTTCTGTGTTTTTGTGATTATTTTATACGCTATTAATGACTACGTACCAACATTTATAAATATAATCATTTTCGAAAGTTATTGTTGTTTTACATAAAAAGCAATATTTTTCTATTCCAAATTATATAAGGAACTATAAAAATACATATTAACAGTATTATTAATATATATATATGTATAAAGCGTTATAAACATATTAATACCTATTTTATAAGTATTATTAAAAAGTTTTGATTCTTCATTAATCTTCTATTCATGAATTTATAAAACGTATAAAACAAATCGTTAAATTTAAGAATTAATTTAAATTAATATTAATAAACAAATTGCTATTGAGAAAAACAGTCTCTTAAATTCTACGAGACTGTATTTTTCAATCGTACAAATTTCGAATAATAAAAATTTCAAGAAAAAATTTTTCTTATGCTGTTAATTTTATTTTCACTTTAACAAAAATATTTAATAAAATCCTTGTTAATGTCAATATAACACAATTTATTCATTGACCCATTTGTAATATTTACTTGCATAAGAATTCTTTAATATCGAAAATTTTATTTATTTCACCAATGGCATGTAACGCAAGAGAAGTGAAGTAAAAATAATTAAGACAAAGAAAGTTTTATTTATCTTTCGTGAAATAATGTGATTGTATAAAAAGCGAGCAAATATGTCAGTATCCAAGGGTGCATGTGAATCCCAGTACAGACGCAGTGCTGTATTAGAAAAGTTTCGATCGGATATACCTTGATCCGAATAAGGTTACAAATTCATTTGGAATCAGGGATATTACTCTTACGTTATTCAGACTGGTCGATGCACTCGTAGCGCTGAATTGCCTTCCATCTTCGGATGTTGAAGCGGCTTCTTCCAACACCGGGGTTATCGGTCCGTATGTACGTAGCCTGAAATTACAGACGAACCATTATTGTGACGAGCATTACACGTACATTTAATCAGCAGTATTGATAATTTAATTATATATCTTAATTAAAATATTAATGTAAAGATTAGAAACATTGAAGTGCTCTCTAAATACAAAACTTTAAGAACGCCATGTTTGGTTTGCATAGTTTGGGATGTGTACAAGCATATTTTATAGATCAATTACTTTGTTGTAGTTTAAAAGTTTTGAAAAGACGGAATACATTGATTAATTCAAGATTATTATTTGTGCTAAGTTTTCAAATCGCCATCGTTTATATATCTATTTCTTTCTCTAAGTTATGCTGCAACTGATTTAAACATATATTCAAACAAATTATTAAGAAAAAGCTCATTTATATTCAAATCTATATTCTTCTATTCTATGTTCTTCACTTGATACATTCTTTGTATGGAATAAAAAAAGTTTAAGAAATAATAAAAATATGAAGATACTTTTGTAAAATATTCTGATTCTTACATAACTCATAATGAATATAATTCTATTATCATTCATAAATCACGTATAATAACTTATTAATTTTATTCCGCCTTTTCTGAACAACTAACGAAAATAAAATTAATGTATTGAAAATATGTAGTAATTAATATACTAAACATTGGATTATGTAACAATTTTGATTTAAACACTTTATAATGCACAAAATTTTTATGCACCATTGCATGCTTATAAAATGTGTTAATGAAGCTGTTTTTTATTTTATAATGTTATTGTGTGTATAGGTTTATGAATATTCAAAGTTAGTTTGTTCTATGTATTTAACAAAAACATGCACATTCCTCAAATGACAAAAAACGTATATATATGATTAATATCATTGTTTATATGCATATATAGCTGTATAAAATGCAAATGAAAATTATTTTATTAATTATAATTAAATACCGGTTACCAGCATAATTTTATGTGTCTATAAAATGATAGAATATGTACATCTTTGATTAAAATAAGTTTTTTTTAATTATAGCGTTTATGGACTTATAATATAACTAATGTATAAAATACAACTATTTCAAAACAGAGATGCATGGGCCATGTTAACTTTATATTCGCTGACAAAATTTGGGAACATAAAAAATAAATAATTGTGACTAATTTAAAATTTGTATTATATAGATTAAGTAATTGAATAATATTTTTAAAACAATTTATTTTATTACAATTAACTTTCGAGTACTGCTAAAATTCTGAAGAGTATTTAAATTTAATACATGAACTATGAATAGAAATGATCTATCTTTTATTTATATCTTTCTGTGATCAATTCAATTAATGTTTATTGCATTATCTCGAATTGCTGCCGAAAAGAATCGTTATGATTAAAAAGACCGAAAACTTATGAAAATGTTCGATATATTAATAAAAATATGAATTTTATAAATATTAACAACATAAAATTTTTTATCGTTAGTTATTATGGGTTTAAAAGCAATGTTTTTGAAAAGCTAAATTACGAATTATATTTAAAAGTCCATATTTTGTAAATATTAAAACAATTAATATACATGAATATTATTCGAATAAAATTACGTTAGTTTTAGCAGTTGGGTTAATCAATTGAAAAGTTCGAATTCGAAAATAGAAAATGCGAATTTATATAAATGCATTTAGAATTAATACTGATAGATAATTATTAATTTGTATTAATTATAATGAAAAAAATTAGAAGACATAATAGAAATTTGAAACTCTAGAGTACTCTGAATAATTTTGTCAGCGATTCATCAGAATGCTCGTCATTGGCGGGCGTGTGTGTGTGCCAGTCGAACAATGTATCACTGAAATCAAAGTCGTGTTTAATACATAAATCAGGCAACATGCCTAGCTAGAACTTACTTAACTGGACGAGCATATTTGACCTCAGCGTGTCCGGTTGTAGGAATGGGGTCAGCCGCAGGCGTTGTCGTCGTAGTCGGCATTGTCATCATTGTCACCGCCGTCTTCATGGAGACACTCGAGCTGGACAATTGTTTTGTTGGAGTGTTAAGCATACTGGCATCGGCCATTATTGTCCTCTGTGAACTACTCGACTCCTTTTCACGTTTCAGCATTCCGTAATTCTCATCCTTTCTGTCGTAGTCGTCGTCCTCATCTTCATTCTCATCACTTGCATTGGATAAAGCAAAAATGTGAGAAAATCATTGTTATTACGTTATGCTGCACTTGTAATTCCGTTGTATTTCACAATTTACTTTACACTCTACTGTATATATCATTTTACTAGTTCCAAAAGCTTAGAAGAGGCATTCCAAAATATATCCGAAATACATATAAATTAATCCATTGCTTTAACACTGTAATTCAACTTTTTAAAATATAGAAAGAGGTTTTCCACAATTTTTGTACATAATTTTTTCACGACGCTTGAATAGTTTGTATGTATAGCAGGAATTGTTCCATCCATTTATCTTATTGATGAATTCTATATCAAATTATTCGAAGTGGAAGTTATTGAAATTGAAATTTATAGCGAAAATTAAAAGATTAGAAAGTAAATTTGATTAATTTAATTTAATTTGTATAATGTATAAAATGTTGTTTTACTACTAGTCCAATTTATGAAACTATTTCATTATTTCACTAATAAAAGTACTGTCTGTTACAGCTTTGTATTGAATGATGATATATTATTTTAACGTTTCTGATTACTTAGCATGTTCAAAATTTAGAGTATTCTGATGTTCATTTAAAGATCAATTTTTTTTATAGTTATTATCATTTAATAATATTCATATTATAAGGTTAAACAAAATAATATATTCATATATTACATTATTCTTAATATATGTTTTTTAATTATTATAAAAATTCTTGTAGGTTATTAAATAATGTCATATTATTAAGATTTTTAAAAAATATAAAAATAAGTTTGATTGAAATTATTTCATATATTAATGACATTGAAAAATGACATTAAAAATAGAAGATGAACAATACGTGCAATATATAAAATAATAATGCAAATAGATTTATATTTTACTCGAAATGAAAAAAAAATATATAAAAAGGGAGAATTTCCTGAATAATTCGAAATATTAAATAATATTATTAAATAAATAATGATCTTCGATTTTTAATGTAGTCTGAAGAATTACTCACTCAGGCTGGGTCTCGGTGCTTTCGTAGCCTTCCTCAATATCAGCAGACGTCTCGTTAAGCCTCGTATGCCTTGTCGTGGCTCGTCTTGGAAGTCGCACCAGCGACACGACCTCGGAAATAAGGGTCGATGAGGACATGGCCCGCGCTCGTCTTGTGATACCTTGCATCGAGCCGCTACACGCTGAAACAGGAATAGGATAATGAGTTTCATAATTGGCTTCGCACTTTCAATTCGCCAGGTAATCGAAAATGTCGACTTGTGATCGATGACTTTACTTTAAAATCCTTATAAATTAAAATTTTACTAAAAGGTATTAAAAAATAACTCTGTAATAACACAATATAATAATTGTATTATAATTAACAATACTTTAATTGATGTAAACTAAAATTTTTATCGAAAAGTATTCAACAGCTTTGATTTTCATAAATAAAATACAAGTAATATTAAAACGAGCAATCTATTTTATGAAAGAAAAATTAATTTATCCTATTCAATTATTCAAAATAATGACAATGGCCTAAAAATTACCAATCAAAATAATTATGAAAAGGATATTTGTTTTGAATAAAACAAATTTTACCTGAATTGTCGGTAAGGCTGTCGAGATCATCGGCAACTTCGTATTTTCGGTATTTGAAGATGTATTGAAGTGCCAGAAACATAGAGACGAGAAAGGTAAGGATAAGAAGGGAAGCGGCAGCGAGATGAGCTGGTGTTAACCATATTGACCATCGTCCAGAAGAAGCCGCAATTACCTTTGGATTTAGGTACACCGGTGACAGCGAAGTTGTTCCATTCACCGTAAGTGGTTTTGCTAAGTTATGAAGTTATGTCATTACGTAATGATGCTAATGATGTAGTTTGTCACAAAAAAAATAGAAAAAGAAATGAAAACACTGACTATTCAAACAATTAAATTAAAAACTTTTAAAATTCAAGTCACGTGTATCTGGTATAGCGATACAAATAAATATAATATAATAACAATAGCAAATAGATATGAAACACTAGATTATTATTAATTATATTTATTAAATTCCATATTGATTTTTATTTATTTAATAAATATTAAAACTATATAATTTGTTATAGCATTGTTATAGTTTGTAACAGAATTTCAATGTTTTAATGAAAACCAATTAATACATTATGTACGATATAAAAAAAATACTTTATAAAAAAATAATAATAACCATGATATTGGGCAACGGTAAAGTGAACACTATTTCTACCTTATATTTTATAGATTTTTTTATTATCAGGCGATTAAAATTTGTCATTGCCCTTATTTATAAATCATCATTGGGAGGATCGAATCTTCTATTTATGAGATTTTTTTCTCATTCGATATAAATTTCATGCATCTTATACAATAATACTTTGGCATAAGAATTTATATTAACGTAGTTGAGACATAAGTAATATTTCAAGGCGTTACAAATTTAAGGTGCTCGCATTGTGTCAAATAGTGCAGTGAGACAGTTTCATTATCTCGCTCTCGTGCATTACTTAAGCGACACGAGTAATTAAACAAACAGCGGGTGCTTAATTAAGCAGGGATATTAAAGGGTCGCGAGCACAAGAGATACGTAAAGTCGAGCTTACGCGCAACGCTGACGTGTGCCAGAAATCCGGCGAGGCAACTTCCAGGGTCGGGTCCCGCGAGCCTCTCCTCACTGAAAAACTCGAGCAACATGCGTGGACCCGTACTAACGATTTGTCCTGTGGCAGGCTCCTTTTTATTTAGACCAATGTCCGCCAACAATTCGTCAATTAGAGAGTCACCATCGCGCGCACGCGCGTATTGACCTTGACAGGGGAATCGCGCTTGATCCAGATGAAGTTTCACTACGTGGCTGGGCTTCGTCTACGAGTTGCAAAATAAGCTGCGCATTAATTGATTCATCATTAGACTATATATTCGTTATTTAGCGTTCAATGAGCATTCATGAGGTCGTTATTATTGCATGGTTGAATGTTCACCTCCTATGTGACTATATAATTACTTTCGGAATGCTAGTGTACTCTGATTCTTTTAATATTTACTTACCTTAACAATAGAAGAGCGTTTATATCTACATAAAGTCCAAATGTAAGGAATTATTTGAAAATTATGTAAAATCTCACAGTTGGTTATAATTTTTTGTTTTCGCTTTGTATATCAATAAATTCGACTTCGCAGAAATATTACACACAAAATAATAAACAAAAAATATTTTCCCAAAACATAATCTATATTAATTCAATTAACCTTGATTTTTTAGTAATTTTTGCAAAGAGAATTTTTTAAAGAATAAATATTTTTAATCAATTTTATTTAAAAATTTCTAGCTCAATGAAGAGTAATAAAATAAACAATTTTTATTAAAAATTGTATATTTAAAATAAATACTTCTAAAATTTTAATTAATTTGAAATAAAATTCAAACATTCGAAAAGTAATGCGTTATTTTTATTCTATAATTTAGTCTATAATTTATTTTAAATGCACCTATTAAGTGAGATTAATATTTTATAAACGTTATTTTACATAATTATAAAATGAAAAATAATGCGTGAAAAAAGGGCATGAAATCCATTTATATTTAATAAAACTTTAATAATTATTAAAAGAAAACACGTAGAGACCTTTACGATTTATATTCTACATAAATAATCTAACAAATCTATATCAAATATTCTAGCAAATTTTAAAGGTAATCGACTATTATCTTTGTTATTCAACCTTAGTTACACAATATATTTATTATATTAACTAGGTTTATTTATAATATCCACATCATACTGTATTCAAATTGTTTTGCTTTATGAAAATTGATTATTCAAGTTTAGTTATATTCTCTAAAAGTAAGTTATTTCCAAAATATTCAAGAATTTTACTATGTGACTAAAATTTATACATAATGACAGTAACTTTTCATTAAAACTGTTTGTAAAATATGGATAAAACGTTAATCATTAGAGTACAATAACTAAAAATAGTAGGTAATTAAAACGAAAAATAGGTACTTGGATAAGCCAAAACGACCGCCCGGGGCAGATTCGACTACTTGTTGCAAGTATTTTGCGGTGTTCTTCGAGATCAATGTTAAGGGAGCAGCCACAGCGGCACTTAGTTCCGACCTCGGCAGTCACTTCCGGTCTATCGACAGCCAAGCCCTCACCGTGCCGACACTCCCAATCGCCAGGACTCCAAGTGCCTCGCAGGTCCAATAGCACTGAACCGCCGCAAGCTTCCGTTTCCACTCGGTCGCCCTGTCCAAAATATACCATTCGCGAAAACTTAATTATATCCAATAACGGTACTTGCTGCACCTCCGCTCTTCAACTTCAATGTAGCTGAAATTGTCCCTCATCGAGTTTGCATTCCTCAACTTGGTCTATTTCGACAAGAGTTTGTATTATACATATGGATGGGAATGTTAACTAACTGTTACTTTTTTAGAATCCAGACTTATTTGGTTCGCAATCTCAAGGAAGAATTAAAATCAAGATACCAATCAGCTCCTTATTAATTTTCAAAGAAATACATAAGACGTAATACTATAAACTTAGAATGAGTCAGAAATATTATTAAAAAAATATTAATACAATATTTATTCGGTTGAGAAAAATTTACTTTTAAGAAACAAAAAAAGTAAAATTATAAAATTTACTAATAGATTGCTTATATCAATTATGTGTAAAGTTCGCTTATCGTTTCATTTTATTTTCTGCTTTTATCTATATGATAATTACTAAATAGTACTTATGAAATATTCAACTAGGAAATTGGGCTTTATTATTTTATGGCTTGAATTTTTGTTTGAATGTTTTCCATCGGAAATTAAGAAATTCTGTATTAAGAAATTAAATAGGTTTGTTGATTATGTTTATATGTAATATTGAACTTGTAAAAATTTATATTTATGTTTGCTATATCGAATAGCTATAAATCACATAATTTATTATTTATAGTATTTTGAGAAGTCATGTTGGTATAGGTCTATATAATTTTTATAAATTTCAGCTATGAATATCAGTGTTAGCCCGTAAATTTTACAAGTTCGGCTATGGTATTTGGTCTCAGATTCATGAGCTATTGATGATGTGATTATAGTTGGAATGGTCTATAGATTTATGATGTAAACATCGAATAGGAGTGTACACCATACTCGGGAACTCGTAAAGATGACGTACCTTTGCTTGGCAGTCGAAAATTCTAAATATGCTAAAATAGATTTCCAGTTAGATTCTGCATTTACACTCATAAGATAACGAAAATTGCTTATAACACGTAATTTTTATTCCATTTATTAACGTTTATCATTCTTTAAAATTCAGTAAATATTTTTTTACTTTATTTTATTATTCGGATTTTCAATGTATACTGTATCCAGCTCAGTTAAAAATGAGAAACTCGAACGGAGGCCTATAGTCAAATAAAAGTATAGCATTTGATTTTAACGGAAAAACCTCTTTTTCTTTCTCACTCTCCCTCTTTACCTATTGTATATAAGCGTTCGTGAATTTTTCTTTAAAATCTCACCTGGCAAAATTTCGCCCCGTATCGCGGGGGCGGCGTGTCACAGAAGCGATGGCGTGTACGTGAGCCACCTACGCAGGAGCTGCTGCACGGTGTCCATTGGCTCCACTGACCCCATCCACCGGCGTCCGTTTCTGTAAATAAAAATGCAATTATTAGCGTCATATGCTTGGTTATGAGAAGATTCGTTTTATGAAAACGATCTGCCTATATCTTTTTGATTTACAGATTATAGTGATACGTATTTGCCGTCTTGGATTGTTACATATCACCTGTTTCAAAAATATTCCTAATTTTATCGTGACATTCAGTTTATTTTAGAAAAACCAAAGTAATTTTTCGATATACGATTACAACTATAATTTGAACTGAAAAAAAAATTATTCCGTCTTATTGTTTAATCATAATAATATACAATGCTAAATTTCGAAGAATGGTGTACTTTTACATACGATATTATATATTATAATATAATTTATTTTACTTTATTATTGTGAATATTTATGAAGTAGCTTGATTTTACTTTAAGTTTTGAAAATTATTAACATTATTGAAAAAGAATCATATTATGTATTATTTCACATCAGTTATTTGAAAGGGCAAATGCTAATTCAAACTTTATGCTATATTAAAAATTATATATATTTTATTCACAATAATTTTATTAAGTAAATTATTCATATTGTCTAATTCAATTAATTGTATATTTTAATTTTTAGTATCGAAAAGCATCAACATCAGGAATAAAGGTTTTTTATTTTCAAAATATTTTATATAACAAAATTATTAGAAACAAAAACTATCAGTAAAACATTTATTCTGTTACATTTTACGAGTATTCTGAAAGTCTTAAATTGTCAACGGTAATGGACAGATTTAGAAAAACTGATTTCTACTCTATCTTAAAAAAATACTAACATGTAAAATATTCCTAGTTACAATAAGTGCATGTTAGCTTGCAAAGTGAAAGACATCTAAAGATTTCAACATATGTTAAGTAAATGTTATTTCTGTAACAGTAGTTTATTTTTAAACGATAACGAATTTATTTTGTATTAAATTCAATTATAATAAATTACTTTATAATTTTATTTAGAATTTCTTTTTTAATTTATTTTTTACTAAAATAAAAAAAAAGTATATTTTAAATTTAAATATTTTTATTCGTATTGTAAATAATGTACATTATTAATGCAAATAATTTTTATTCCTTATTTTACAATTATTTTATACATTCTGTATAAATATAGAAATATTTGTTTTGCCGCTATATCTTCTTCACCATTTTTAAAAACTTTATAATTTATATAATTAAATATTTTAAATATCTATTAAATAATTTAAATATAAAGAAATAAAAATAGTTTAATAATTTAAACATAATAACATAATCATATTAAAATGTATTTTTAATGACATGTAAACAGATAACATATTATCATTGTATGTATTATTGTATTGTATATATAATAAGTTTATTATTAATTTGTTGGAGTTAAAGTAGAAACAAAATTTTTCCTTAATAATATATAATCTTTCAAGATTAGGAATAATTCGAAATGAAAATATCGAAGCAGAAGATTAAATTCGGGTACATTTGTTTTCCCTTTTCTCGGTTTTTTCCACTGCAATGCAGACAAAATTGACGAAGTTAAAATGTTGTATCATATATACAGATTCAAATATAATTGCAACAAAACCTTTGTATAGAAAATTAATTTACAATATACATATATTCAAAATATGTAATTGAAAATACACTTTAATAAATCATGTTTCTTTAAATGCGACTTTATGATAGCTTATAAATTTCCTTGACACTATTGTTTGAAAAGTAATTAATCTGCTGTCATAGTTCCGTGTGCACAATCCAATAGTTTTTGGAGATTATTAATAAAAAAAGTAGGTATAGTATAAAAGATCATAGACCGTGCGATATCAAAAGTTCTCTTGAAATGATTTTTGCAACTCCATGTTACAAATACAATGAATGAAAATATATTTTATTTTCAATTTTAATTGTTTATTTATTTTTATTGTATCTATCAATGATACAATATTATTATGAATTAGTAAAATTAGTAAAAATATTAATTCTAAACCAATATTAGTGTATATCTTTCTGTTCGATTTTCTGGGTCGAAGAGCCAATATTCGATAGTTCAATTTATTCTGTCTGGGATCAGACAGAAAACCTCCCGTTAATGTATGTTGTAGTTATAGTTTCGATAATTACACTCTTACTTTATGTTTGCACTGGCGCTTCTTGAATATAAGTTTATGTTTAAGTTTAACGGATTCTCATAGTGTGGCGTCACTATTGGGTTGTTGAATTGCTTGATGCTTACGTACGTGAATAGACTCTACACGTCCGTGTAGAGACTGCGTGGTTAGTACTAGCACAAGGGCGATCGCATTAAGCGCTGTTCTTAAATATTCTCGTAAGAGCTTGCGACGCCGGTGATGCACCTGTGTCTGTTGCTATGCCAATCATTATCGTGACGTCAGAAGGATGTAGCCTTGGAAGAATCATCGGCATTGCTAGTCGGAATTATAATCGTATATTCGAGTTTTCAGCGTAGGAAATTTCCCGAATTCGCTAAATTGTGTTTATAAACGTAAATGTCCGGGAGCTTATACCTCTTCCATTTTTGTATTCCGCTTTTAACTGCTTCAATCCCGAGCAACTTTTCATAGGAGAGTGTGAACTATTTTTAATCACATCAATGCAGTTGCTCCTTGTTGATAGTGATGATGTTGTTATGATCTTGTAAAGATCAACAATTGATTGTGCATACTTCTTGTTAAGGAGTATAATGGATGGGGCTTTATCCATGTGAAAGTAACCCGTGAGTCTGTCCAAAGATGGGTTACTTTAGCGTCCATCTTCAGCGTGGCTACGTCTTGTATTAGTAGTAATGTATTAGTTGCGATAGCAGTAGTGCTGCAGCTTGGTACTCTACTAGGACTCCAGTCTTGGTATTGTGATTCACTTGAGGGGTGCAACCTTAGTCTTTAAACACACCAACGAAGTCATAATACTATTTTATTCGTGCACGGATATGTATATGACTACCGATATTGCTAATTGAGGTGCATTAGAAAACCCATGAAACTATAGGTGTAAGGTGCTTCTTATATTGAGCTAACGTGGTATTGAAATTTTCGTCAAGTTAGAGAGATCTCTTCTTTCTCGTCCCATTGGAGCTTGTATAATCATAGCTCCTGCATGAATATCTTTGCCTTCATCATAACAGGTGAAAAAAAACCTAATGAATGAAATAATTGAGCCACTTTAGATAAAAGTACGCGTTTAGTAAGGTTATCAACTTGCACCGACGTAATCCAAAAATTTTGGTAGAGCAATCGTCGAACTTGATTGGGGTGTTATTTTGATCTGCATTGATTGCGGTGGTAATATCGTGATTTGCATCATACCATTTTGGCAACGGGAAACCGCCCGCCATGTCAAGGTTTTGTAATTGGAGTACGACTTTGACTAATTGTTCTAGAATGTCTGCACTCCCGAAGATATCATCGACATATCTTCCATGGCGTCCTTCTTCCATGGTGTCCCCACTAAGAGAGAGCCGATTTCTTCCATGGTGTCCCCACTAAGAGAGTGCGTTTTCTAAAAGTGTGCTTTCTTTAAATATCTACAATGGCCCAGTGAGTGCTGATAACAATAGTGGCGATTGTGGTGCTAGAAAGAGATTGCACAAAAAATACTCGGAATTTTTTCCAGAAATCAGAACACTAGAGGGTTTAACGAAAGTCTAACACTTGAGATTTTCCCAGAAATTCTAATGCTTGGGAAATTCCCGAAACCTAAACACTCGAGAGATTCTTGGAATCTCGAACACTTTATCATTTTTAATGCTTTTATCATTATTTATTTGAAATTATTCTTAAACTAATAAATGTAATAATATTTTGTAATATAAAATAGTATAGAACATGCAATAGAGAGGATGTATATATCAATACAAACGTAGTATTATTTTTTACAGATATGATAAATAAATAATTTAAGCTGACATACTATTTTCTTACTGACTACTACTGACATACGTTTTCATTAATCCCGTATATAATTCCAATGGAAGCTATATTCGTTTCTATTTCGCTATTTTTATTATCTATTTTATTAACTATTTTATTATTAATTCTCTCTCTCTCTCTCTCTCTCTCTCTCTCTCTTATATTTCCTTACAATTCATGTATATATGTTATTATTACTATTACCGATTTAATATGTGTATTTACAATTATTTGCATTCATAATACAATTTTTATATTTTTTTAGCTTTATTTATTTCTTAACGATAACCAAAAAAACCAGCAACTTTCATATACAAAATAAAATTTAAAATAGGTTCTTAATGAGCTTGAAGAAATATTATATTTTTTTAGCTTTATTTATAAAATATATAAAATAAAATTTAAAATAGGTTCTTAATGAGCTTGAAGAAATATAAAATATTCTTTCATTTTGTTCATTATTGATAATATACTCTAATAAAATGAAAATTAAAAGAGCTTTTCTCATTCAGAATTTATTTTTCTTCTTTAAATTATTTGGATTGTAATTCATAATGATTAAAACTCATTCATAAAATTTATTTTGCGCATTTTTTAAAATTGTAGGTAAATATACTCGTACATTTACTAATAATATTTTAAACAGAAATCTTCATTTAAATAAAATTGTTTAATTCCAAATAACTCAATAACGAACATTTTTTTATAATCACTTTTATATCCACTATTTAAATAATCTTACTATTTATTTTTCTGTTCATGTCATGAAATGAAATTTTTTTTTAATTTCTAAAATTTTAAAAATAGTGGAAAACTAATAATAAATCAAATTATTATATATACGATTACTTTATTAATAAAAGTTTGTATTTTATTTAAAATATCCGTTATTTTTATTAGCGCCCATAAACTAAACTAAGCTGTATAGATTATAGTTTGGTATACATCATTAATCATTTATCATTTGCATCTAGAAAAAGATATTTTAAACATTTATCAATTTTTCATTTTATTAAAGTAATAACAAAAAAATAATAAGCATCATTTTATATTCTCTTTACTACTCAGTTCTATTCGTCTTCGTTATATCGCA